TAGCCCTTGCAGTAGTGACAATTGCCGTTGAACCGGTGCAAGTCCTTGCCCTCCGGCTCATGCTTCCTATTGGATCCACCACGACGTACACCGTGTTTTCCACGACCACGGCCATAATTGCCTTGCCCAGCGTACCTCTGTCGGCCACCGCGGCCGCGCCCTCCTTGGGCGTAGTAGGCTTCCTCGCGCTCCATGGGCACATCTGGCATGCACATCACTGCCCTCTTGAGGATGGTCCAAAAAGTCACCATCTTCTTCTTGCTGTCATCCATGGTTTCCATCTTGTCCTCCACGTAGACACGCGCTTGTGTGGGCAGGTTGCTCACCAACTTCTTGACCGTGTCCTCCTCGACAAACCTGCTGCTCATCCGCAGCGTCGACACTGTCAGGTCAATCTTGCGCCGGTAGTTGCTCAGATCATGTTGACTCTGCAGCTTCGTGGTGACCAAATCAGCTTCAGCTTGCGCAAACACGCTCTCCAGCGCCTCCAGATCGATGTCAGTTCGATCAATCCAGTCGTGTAGTATCATTCCACGACCATGGCCGCTCTTGATTTCCTTCCTAAGGCCACTCAAGACTAAGCGAGCTGTTCCGGTGAGACACGTCGAAAGTGCGACAATAATCACACTATTGATTTCCTTGAGCTTCTTGACGTTGTCCTTCGGGCCTGGCCCGTGCTTCTCCACAATGGCAGCGGCTTGCAAATCCTCCTCCTCCAGGCTCTTGAGCTCTGGCAGGTACGGGACATCGTAGCTGTCGCAAACGGCGTTAATGACCTCGCGCAGCTCGATCAACTTCATCGTGTCATGGCCATCATACTGAGGCCAGCGCTCCGACTGTCGGCGGATGCTCTTCACGATCTCCGGCAACTCCTCGAGCGCCATGTTCTCGATGTACTCCTCGACACCGGTTTTTCCTTTGGGGAACTCGCACTCAAATGGGAAGCACCCAAGTCTTCAGCTCCTTGACGCAGTGTCCACGCAGTCATTGAAGGACGATTTGAGCTGAGACAGTAAAGCGGTTCAATTGCACTTCTCTCACAGGAGAGAACGATAGAAAACAGAAAGGGAAATATCCAAAAGAAAATGCCACTCACGGTCAGCGGGACCGTACTTATAATCTGGTGGCTAAACACACCCAGAGTGTACGAGAGGGTTCCTCGACGGGCGGCGGCAGCTGCACATCGTCGAGTACATTTATGCAATCCTTCCAGAGGGATCTGGCAGGTGGTCGATGCTTGCACTCCAATATCAGGTACGCCGCGACCTTCTGGACGACGGCGGTTGTAATTCATCGACTCTTGGCCGAGACGACCAGCGCTCTTGGCAGCCTAATCCACACTCAAGCTTGGCACTCTGGAGACACGGCCGAGCAAAAGACCATGTGCAAACCAAGATGTCGTCTCGACTGATGCATCAGGTGGACTTGCATAAGTGGCATGCTTTGTTTGGACTAGTATGGTAACACGCAGTATGGTCGAGTTGACAGCAGCCCGAGAAGCATTGGGAGTTTGCGAAATTCCAACAGTTGGAACCCAGTGACTGACCTCTCGCCCGAGGCAAATCTTATTGTTGTTGTTGTTGTTGACATGTGGCGTTTGTGTGCAGATGTGCGACGCGACGAGCGGTTTGTACAAGGAAACACGGGCCTGTTTGCAACAGATCTCAAGCAGCGCCCAAGTCTCTTCAGCGCCGGGCAGTGTGCAACGCCCTACTTGTTGGGCCAGCCATTGACGCTTTGTGCGACACACCCGAGCTCGTCCGCGAGGTGCGTTGCTTGCTAGTGTCGTCATCGTAATATTGTTATTTTTATCTTGACAAAGCCGACTAATTTGAATTTATTGTGTGACTAGGTGGCTGAACTGCTGCAGCAGCAGTTGAGTGCTGACGGGCAGGGACCAGGTAACGCTGCAGGGCAGTGGGTGGCGCGTGTGCAGAACCCCGTGCTGTGTGAACGGCGCAGCAGCAAGCGACGGGAGTTGCTGCACCGCCTCACAAGTCAGGAGCACTAGAATCGACTTGTAACCACCACCTCGGATGTGCTCTCGGGCTGTCCAGCTTTTCTTCGTGATACACCCTGTCAAGAGTGCTGGCTGCTTCACGCCCGAGCAATTGCTGCTGGACAAGATTGTGCGCTTGGGTCTCGACCATCGCTTTGCCGGCAGCCACGCGAGCCACCAGTTTGGTTTTGGTCTTTACTTGGCCGACCATGCTGGCAAGGTGGGGTTAGAAATTGCGACTGGTTTGATCGGATTGCGCCGCTGTTCTGATGCCAGATGCGCTTTTGTGTATGACTTTAGAGTCATCATCAGTACTCCTATGGTGGACTCGATGGCGAGCGCATGCTCGTTGTCACGCGAGTTTTGTTGGGTCATGCCCATGTCCATCAATCGCCTCCTTGTCTAGCACTGGCCCAACCACTCTTGCCAGACGCGCCCAACAATGAGCGTTGCGTTGGACAGACCCGGCTTTGGCACGTTGCATGTTGTTTTTGAGCCGCGAGTGCTTCTGGCTGGCTTTTGACTTGATATGTGATTTTGCTACAGATATGACTCGGGCATCGCGACACGGCGTGGCAAATTTCACCAGATGGTCATCTTCGACAATACCCAAATCTGTGGGGTACTACACGGCCCTTTAGGATGCTCGTGCTATGTGCTGTTTGTTGGCTTCACCTTCCTCGTCCCTGTCTGCCTGTGCTTGTCACCACGCAGAGCCATCAATTGACCTGCACACAAATTTCAGTGGCGGTGGGGATTACATGATGACTCGGCACGAACCGTTTTGAATCCGTCGCCCGTACTCATGTGTGTGTTTTGTGTGTCTGTGTCTGTGTCTGTGTGTCTGTGTCTGTCTGTGTCTGTGTGTCTGTGTCTACGTATGTGTCTGCATCTCTCTCCGTGGGTCCCTCTTGTGTCTTTGTCTGTGTACCTCTCTGTACCTCTCTGTACCTCTCTGTACCTCTCTGTGAGACTCTCTGTGAGTCGCTCTGTGCCGCTGTGTTGTTGAGTTCTCTCTCTCACACACACACACAATCTCTCTCTCTCTCTCTCTCTCTCCCTCAAATCTCTCTCTTCTCTCTCTCTCTTTGGGCTCCCTATGGCAACAAAGCTGACAAACAACACCAGTCACTGCATGGGACAACTTGTGGGTCGCAGTGTTGTTCTGTGACGGTTGCAAGTCATGGTGACGTGTTCGGGATGCTGCCACGTTGATTTAGACCTCGTAACGAGGGGTTTTCATCACGTCAGCACCACAACATCGTATTTGTGCGTTTGGGTACCCAGTACGGTAATATCCCCCTTTGTGGTCGCTCCATCTCTCTGTCGTCTCTCCATATCTCAAACTCTCTCTCTCTCTCTCTCTCAAACTCTCTCTCTCTCTCTCTCTCTCTCTGTCTCTCTCTCTCTCTCTCTCTCAAACTCTCTCTCTCAACCTCTCTCTCTCAACCTCTCCATCTACCGCCTCTCATCATACGGCAGCGCCTTGCGGCCTGTCTGTGTGTTGCTCTTTCCTTGATACCAAGCCGGCACAGCCGGCACCCGGAGCTGCTCCAAGTTCAAACACAAGCCGAAGCAGAAGCAGCCGAGACCCTATGCAAGCAGCTGCTCGCCCCAACCCACGACCTTGATCATCTCCCACCCCGCGACCCCTCTCATGACGTTGAAAGTTTACACACACACACACACACACACACACACACACACACACACACACACACACACACACACACAACACAGAGCAGAGACATGTGGTGCCTTGACCGCGTTGTGATGGTAGCCACGTCACAAGAGCCCTCGCCAACCGCTCCACCAGCTGCCCCAACGTCCCCCCAAGCCCCCAAGCCCCCAAGCCTCGGATCCCGAGACCTCTTTCGTGGCTCTTTTGTCGCCCAAGCCTTGGGGATTCCTGGTCGGCCAGCCCAGTCGTACATGATGCGTGTGGACCGACGACCCCAAACACTGAATTTCACGAGGAAAAAAAAAATAGAATAAAATGCCTTGAACCAGTGTTGGCTGGAGGTGTATTGGATAAACCGTGGTGGTGCTGAAGACTTTAGAGGCGGCCTCGTCGTGTGTTGTGCCAGATGGGGCAAGAAAGACATCCGTCCAAAGTGGCTCCGCATTCTGGTCCGTCGTGACAGGGAAGAGCCGCGAGGAGCAGGGCGCGAGGAGATGGCGCTTCACGTCACAGTAGCTGCCCGAGGTAGAGCGGCGTTGAAGCAGGAGCTAAAGGAAACCCAGACGGTACACACAGAGACAGAGATAGAGAGAGAGATAGCATCATCAACAGAGGGAGAGAGACAGAGAGAGCAGAGACAGAGACGGAGAGAGACAGAGACAGACAGAGACAGAGACAGAGAGACAGAAACAGAGAGACAGAGACAGAGAGACAGAGACAGAGAGAGAAACGGAGACAGAGAATGAGAGACAGAGACAGAGAGAGAAACGGAGACAGAGAATGAGAGACAGACGCACACAGAGACAGAGAATGAGAGAGAGACACAGAGAGAATGACCACACACACACACACAAGAGCACAGATTTCAAAAGGGGGAGTTCAATTCAACAGAAACGTCGTTTCCTCTTTGATTTCATTTTTTGGGGGGTGTTTGGGGCACCCACACGCGTGTGACGTGTACATATGGGTCTGGGCCCATATCTTTTACCAAGTTGTTAGCGTTATGGTCCCATATTTTGCCTGAACATTGACCATGAGTACACGTCGCCATGACGTTGATCCCCATGGGGCCGTGGCGATGAACCTCACGCCGGCATCGCGAGGGGACATGGAGCGGAAGAGGGGGCGGGGACTCTTTGAGAAACGGCAGCGCGCTTCGTCCCGCCCCGGCGGCGTGCGCGTGAATGTGCACAAACACGACTGTACTCTACCCGCGATCCTCTCCGGGTCTGAGCGGTATAGTCTTTGAAAGGAAAGACGGCAGCGGCGACCGGATCATCTGCTGCTGTCAAACGTCAACAGAGTCAAGGCATGTCATACACCGTGTATCAACGCGTGGTGCTGGCTCGCGTTGTCTCCCTCACTCTGAGTCTGTCTCGGTTTTTGAAAGTGTCTCTGAATTGCCCGCCCAGACTCGCTCACCCTCTGCTTTTCTATGGATTTCTCCTTCTTCTCTCTCTCGTTTTTCTTCATCTCTCTCTAGCTTCTCTCTCTCTCTCTCCCTCTCTCTCTGGCTTCTCTCTCTCTCTCTCCCTCTCTCTCTCTCTCTGCTGCTGACGAAAACTCGAGGCTGCGACGGCGCATTTTCTCTCTCTCTCGCTCTCTCTCGTTCCCTCTCTCTCTCTCTCTCGCTCCCTCTCTCTCTCTCTCTCTCTCGCGTTGCTGCTTCACATCACAGGAGTCTAGGATCCCAGATCCGGTGTGGCCCTCTCGCTGTTATCACGTCGTCGAGGTGGGTGTGTCAACGCCATCGTATCATCATACCCATGCCAGTACACCCCCCGACACCGCCATCCCCATCACACACACACACACACACACACGCAGTGGCCGCGCTGGCGCCTTCCGCGGGCACGATCTCCTCCTTCTTCTGCTTCTGCTTCTCCTCCTTCTTCTTCTCGTGAACCCCCTGCGCCAGCCCAGGCTCCTCCGCAACACGACCTGTTGTTCTTAAAAGCGTGGGAGCAGTGACTGGCAGACACTGGGGACGGGGCTGGCGTGAAAAAAAAATTCCAAGGAGCCGCCCGCACGCTCTCTTGCACTCGTTGAATCATCTGGGTGATCACATCTTATGTCCTCGCTGCGGCACTGCTTGTGTTTCTGGTTATGGCTTTTGACACGGCACGATTGCGCCATGGCGACCCGAACCATTTCCAATGCTCTCCCTCTCTCTCCTCTCTCCCTTCTCTCCCCTCTCTCCTCTCTCTCTCTCCTCTTCCACACACACACACATCACAGGGGTTGGGGCCATTGCATACAAGTCGTCAGGCGAGACGCGTCGACACGTTGGTCACCGGACCATCATCTACCCACACACACACACACACACACACACACACACACACACATCTCCACTCCATTACTCGATCAACCTGCAAGCATGTCCTTGATTTGCTGCTGCTGCGCAAGCGCCCTCGCTGTTGATGTTTTTAAAAAATAAAACCGTTTTCGCGTCCGGCTCACCACGTGCCCCAAACGTCGTCGTGCTTGCCCCAACCCCCTTGCGTATCCTTCTTTCTTGATACCTTGGTGTCAATTCTTAGGATTTCGCCGCGTCTTCACCACCGTGATTGGCACCCCCCTGGCTTGGCCTGACCCGTCTCGACCACGTACTGCTACAGAGCAAGCACGCACCCTCAAGCAAGGCATCAGCTAAACCCTCAACAAGCACGGCTTGCCAACGATCCCTGCCTCCCCCCCCAGTACGCTGTTCCCTCGCGAGCCCTCCCACACGTCGTTTTTTCGAACCGGGACACGCAAGTCCAAAACATCGCACGACGCACGCATCTTTCCTGATCGGCCTGTCCTCCCTCCCCCACCATATCCGATTCCTCGCAACCGCCGACGTTCTGCTAGATTAAATTGACGGCATCACCACAGAAGAGTCATCAACTGCCGTCGCCAGAACCAGAACAACCGCTTTCCGGAGATCTGATGGAAAAAAAAAAAATCCAAGAAATTACCAACGACGCCCTCGGCATTCCAGCTCGGTCCACGCCATCAGCAAACCCCTGGCTTTACCTTGCCCTCTGTCTCCTGCCCACTTACGCCGGCCAGCGCGGCCCGCATCAACATCGCATCGACGCCGCGTCAGACCCAAACGTGAGTAGTCCACGTCAACACCCACGTTTGGCGACAAGCATAGCCCACAGCCATAGCTTTCCCTTTTTTTCCCCGACCGCTCCTCCTACCGTCTGCTCAGGATCTACGCCGCCTCGCGCATCGAGGTGGACTGCCCGATCCGCCACTCGCATTTTTTTCTTTTCCATCCAATCCGACCCACAGATCAAAGCCTCGTACCCCGATCCGGCCCTGCGCCCAGTATTCTGGCCCAGCCTCTCGCTTGACGCACGCACGCCCCTCCTACCCAACGACCGTGCGTGCGTTACCGTCAACATGCCATTGACATATGCCACATGCTTGGCCATGGCCCTGGCCTCCGAGCCAAAGTCGGGCCTCACCACCAAGCGCCTCTGCGAATGGATGCTCTCCCACCCCGACGCCACCAGCGTCACCTCCCGCGCCTGCTGGCGGACCTCCGTTCGCCACTGTCTCTCCGATTCCCCCGCCTTTTGGCACCCCACCCTCCAACGCACCTGGTTTTGCAATCGCGAACACCTGCCCGTCAATTCCCAAAAGGCCGTCGTTCTTCTCGACAAGGCCAAGGAAAGGTTTCCCACCTGCAGTACCAGGGTAAGTCGACCTCGCCCAGCCCTTCCGCTGGCCATCGCCCACAGCAGCCCCGTCCCACAGTTGCCTCACCTACACCTCGCCACTTCCCCCTCGGTGCTGCAGCTCCTCGAAATGGCCATCCTTCGCATGATTAAACAAGACATGCCCCTCGTCCTCAATAACCTGGCCCAGTTTGGCCTCCCCGCCATCATCCATGAACAAATTCACCTTCATCCTCCTCCACAACAACAACAGCAGCACAAGCAGCAACCGCGACAACCCCTCTCCAAGCACCAGCAACGAGCCTCCCAGTCCTCACCCTGCCATCAGCAACTCACCAATGCCAATGGTGCCAACCGCACTCGCACCACCAGCGAAGCAGTCTCAGACAGCGCCATCGGCAGCACAGTCGATAGTGCCACGGGTTCCGCCACAGAAAGCGTCAGTGGAAAACAATCCACCCGCACAACGCGCCGCGGCTCCCCAGCTCTTTCGACCACCTCTGGCATCTCAGACACGCGCAACGCAACGCCCCATCCACACCAACATGCCCCTGTTCGCGTCATCATGCCTACCTCGGCCACCAACGTCATGCTCGCTTTCCAGCAACAGCAACAGCAATTTTACCAATCCATGATGCAGCCTCCAATGGGTCCCGTTCCCTTTGCCATGCCGTATCCTCCCAACGCCAACGGCCCTGCCTATGCTGCTGCTGCTGCTGCCGCCGCCGCCGCTGCTGCTGCTGCCTGGCATCCCATGCTGAAATGGGCCCCGGCCAACTTTTTCCAACAACCGGGTTGGCAAAATAACGCATGGGTCGCCCAGCCCTCCAGCTAACCCAAAACCGCTCCTAGTCAAGACCCATCCGTGTTCGTCAATTCTCAAAGGAACCCCTTACCCGTTATCCCCTACCCGTTATCCCCTACCCGCTTGGTCATTGCTCTTTCGCTTTGTTTTGTTCTGTTTGTTTTTCATGCTAACTTCCCTCCTTGCTTGGGAAAAGAGTTGTCTCAGTTTTCTGCGTGATGGCTGAAAAAGGTGCTGCCTGCGCCGAGTGTCTGGTCGTGCTTCTTTCCATTCTCCTGTTCTCCGACTTTGGGGTGGTGAAGGCCTCTCCATTTGCCTTTTTCTTTTTCTTTTGTCCTTTCTCTAGTTCTGTCTTGTTCCTCTTGATTTTATCCATTTGCCCCTCCTCTCTGAATGCCTGTTTGATGTTTGTTCACATGTCAAGTATAGTTCTTGTGCGTTTTGGTGCTTGATCCGCAATCGATTGTCTCTTTGCAAATGCCAAACTCATTCCCATCCAGCTTTGTTTGGGGCATGGTGGTCTCGAGGCAAACTCTATCAAACCCAACACCTGGGACCATCCGTTCCCCATGCAGTACCTGCTGTTGGTTGGAGCATGCTAAGTACACTCACTGGCCATCTTCACAGCGTGCAGGGAATACCGGTGGCGGCCCTCCTTGAGTGCTTGTTGTAACCCTTGCATAACCTCATCCACGATACCTATTGCCACACAAATAAATAAACACAAACACACACGCGCGCGCACACACACACACACACACACACACACACACAATTACAGCAACGAAGAGTGTCGTGTGACACACGAGCTCCACCAGGCCACACATACCGCTATCAATCGAAGGCAAGGCATGTCCCTGCATGTCCAATGCCAAGGGCTGTATTGTCAACCACTGTAGCTGACTCACGCGTCCCACCGGCAACGGGGGTGCTGCCGCCTGCCAGCCCCAAGCACAACACGGAGATGGCCCATTCCAAAGAAGAAAAAAACAGTCAGCAGCCAACACACCAACCGCCTCAACCGCGGCAGAAGCAGCCTACATACCCGGAGAGATTCCAAAACAGGGTCGGGCAAGCGGCCCAAACCCGCTGACAGATCAATGGTTGGCGCCATGACCATGTTGGCCTCCACATCGACGGCCGAGGATCCACTCAGCTTTGTCCGCGATACTACACCAGCGGGTTGCTGCGCCTCCTCTGAAAAACTTCGCTCAGGCACGTCCTCCACATCAATGTCCTCGTCATCCTCGTCATCCTCGTCACCATCCGCTTCGCTGCCATTGCCGTTTATGCCTTCTTCGCGAGTCCTCTCCTGCCCCTCATACACATCATTTTGTGCAGGGTCTTCCTTCTCGGTCGAACCAGGTTTCTGATCGCCAGTCTCGTCTGCGCTGGGTTCATCGCCAAAGACCGAAGACATGTCGTGCAAATCACCGGTGGATCCCACTCCGAGCGCACGAGCTTCATACTCTGCCAGCGTTTCATGGGCCACGGAAGCGGGCAAAGTTCTCGACCGCAAGCGGCGGTCCTTGTCCGGATTCGCGGGTGATGCTTCCAAGTGTGAATCGAGAATCAGTCCGGCCAGGACAGAGCTGACCATCTCTGAATCTTCGTCCACGTTGTCCTCTTCGCCGTCGTCCGTGCCCTGGCCCGCGCTCCTGGTGCTTGGCCCATCAGAACTGCTAGCCACGCGACTTCGGTCCGTACGAGGTGAATCCGCCCTCGACGAGCCACAGTTTGGTGCAGGAGTAGCGCTCTCTCCCAACAGCACCGACGCCGATGCCAGCTCATCCTGATGGCCATTCAACGCTTGCGTGGTCCAAGCTGCCGCCCTCGTTATGATGCTCGAGGCTGCAGGCCGAGTGTCGGCAAAGCGTGCTAGCGCCTCGGCCTCGAGCTCCTCTGTCTCTTCATCCGGCATGGCATCGCCCACAAGATACGGGTTTGCTTGTCGCAGCTCAGAGAGCCAGAGCGCCACCAACCCGGCTTCGAGACGGTCCTCAATTTCACCCAAAGCCTAGGCATTGCAAGTCAACATATGGATTGCCACCAGTTGAGACAGCTGCCAATGCAAATTTTATTTTGACCTTGAGCCACTGGCACCTCTTGCACAGACACACATCACAGTTGGTGCTTACCCGAAAGGCGAGCCGAACCACTGGAAAGCGGATCTTGGATCGGCTTTTGCTGGCATCTTCGGCAATACTGTTGGTATGCAGACTCAGCGCCTTGATCTCGCCCGGAGCCAAGGGGCCCGACTCACCACGATGCAATAGATGCAGATTGTGTGTACCCAGAGCATGCAGGGTCTCGTCCGCAAAACTCACATAGGCCACGTACAGATGCTCGGAGGTCACAATCACAATCGTCTCTGCCACCACCACTCTAAAATAAGGAGACCGGTAGAGTCGAAAGCAGGAATGAGGACAGGATGCCGAGCATCTCAAGGCAAGCGAGCGGAAGCATGGGCTAGGGTCGGGGTTAAAAGTGATGTGCGTTTATGAAAAACTAACGGATCTCGCCGGAACGTGGGCCATGCTGCAATGCAGTGCTCCCCTTCATCGATAATCTACAAAGCATGCACACGCGCGCGCGCGTGTAAGACCTGGCAGTGCTCACTGCGGTATCTCACATCCGAGCCCGGGCACGGACGAAGGCAAGACAAACCTTGCGAAGAACACGATTCACAAAGTTGGTGGTCGTGTCTTGTAGCACAACGTGTTGCATGCGCTCCAGCGCCAGGCTCTCGTTGAAGACAGCGCTCGTTGATCGAGACAGCTGACAGAGGTCGATGACTTGTTGTCGGTATGCATCCTTGAAAGTGTTGAGGTAATAGCGAGTCAGTGACTTACGACCATCGTTGAGCGCACCTGCGCATCATCGGCGGTGACGGGTGCCCAGAGGATGGAATTAAAGTTAGATATAAATAAATAAATAAATAAAAAAAAAACAGGTACGGGTTACGGGGGCGGGATCCATGGTGCCATCACCCGAGGCTGCAAAATAGCAACAGACTAAGAGGCTCGAAAGATGCGTACCAAGGAGTTTGTTGCGACCGGCCTTGGTGGCCTCGCTTTTCATGGCATCAGTACCGGCATATTGCCGGCTAATCTGATTGCCATTGGCAGCCCACAGGCGCTGCAGTAGGCTCAGCAATGCGGGTGGAAAGCCCTCCTGGGAGTGTGGCAAAGAGGAGCGCGATGGAAGGGCGAATGGCCAGGCAAAGACGTGAAGGGCCGCGCACAAGGAACAAGAGAACGTGGCTACAGCAAGACCGAGGGCATACCTTGCCCTTGAGGATGCCGGCTGCCAAGAGCTGGCGTGCCGCGGTGTCTCGAGCAAAGACACTTTGGGTGACGTTGGTACGATCCAAGCAATCCATGCAATTGGTACGCACAACGCCCGTCTGCTGTGTCACGGGATGCCACACCTGAAAAGCAGATGAAACGTTGGTGAGACTGTCGTGAGGTGAGGCCCAGCCTCATGTTAGACGCACATCACCGTTGACGACGAAATTGGTGAAACCCATGTTGTCCAGCGAGACCTGGGCCGCGTCGACAATTTCCCACACCTGCGTTTGGCACGGCCCCCAAAGGTGAGAGGAAGGGAACAGGGGTGGAGATGACGGTAGGCTGACAGTCTTACTTTGTGCATGGTGCTTCGCTTGCAGTGGTGGTGAAAATCAAAGGGATGGTAGGTGATGTGGGACGGTGCGGCAGCAGCAAACACCTTTTTGAAGGCCTCTCCAACCACCTAACACAGATGAGAGCGCTGTTGTTGTGAGCGCCGTGACCAATCATCCTCAAGGTTTGGGTGCATTGGGTGCACGAGCACAGGAACTGTATGAGTGGCATGACGTACGGCTTCGCGGCCCTGACGATTGATGAGATTCACCCAGAATTGATGGGGACCAAAATGCGACACGAGCTGCTCCATGTGGCGCAGAAAGGCCGTCTGCAAGCAATGACCAGCGCAAGGCCACGATCAGGGATGATTTCGGGTGGATTAGGACGAGACGCAGTGCTGCTCTCAAGAAAGGCAGGCGCACCTGGGTTTCGGCCGGGGTCTTGTGAAGATTGACGGCTGGTCGATACTCCTTGTTTTGAGGTTCTTGCGTCCAGAAGACGGGAATGGAGCCTGGTGGGAGGAAGCGGCCCATGCAGGAAGCGGGTTGTCAGCAAGAAGCAAGGCCTCGAGTTTTCTCAGCATGCGGCACTCACCTCGATATTGCACAAAGGCCAGGACGTGGTCGTTGCACGCCAGGATCTGCTCTGTCTCCACGCCGTTGGCCACATTGCCGTTGGCGTCCAGGCCGCGCTTCTTGTAGCTACCCAAGTGCGGACAGCGCAAAGTGAAGACTTGCTGCGATTGATGATTTTCGGTTGTTGCTTTGTATTTGTTTTTTTTTTTTTTTTTTTTTTTTTTTTTTTTTGTTTTTTTTTTTGTTTTTTTGTTTTTCCAGATAACTGGGGCACTGGGTCAACGACTGGCGTACCGACAGCCAAGGCGGTGGCGAGAGCGACGAGACACGATGGTAGCGGCCATGGTAGTTCCAGAGGGTAGACGGCAGGATCCCCGATCGAAGAACCCCTGCATGATGGGCAGGACCCACGGGTGGAGATCGGTATTGGACACGAGGTCGACCAGCATGACGTGATTCCAAAAGGTGCGGTCTGCAGCCGGGGATTGCCACATAAAGGGGGGCCGGGCCTCATCCTCGAGAAACTCGTGTTGCTTTTGTAAGCTGTGCTCAAAAGGAGAAAGCAAAGGGCGGGAGGGTTGAGCGCGAATCAGGGAAGAGTCGGGAAACAACCACGAGGGCAAGTGGAAACAGGATCTCACTTGAGGAGCACGTTGCCTGACCCGCTATAAAAGAAGCCGCCTTCGGGCGAGAACATGCGTTCAAGCAGCTACCGGATGGGGGGCAGGACGAGATGAGGATGATGGCTTGGGCACGGCATGACCGCAAAACCACATCACGGTTGTCAGGATGGCGGCTTTTCAACCTTGATGTGGCGCTTGTAAAGCTTGTTGTAGAGACGATGATTCCGCTGGGATTTGTCGAGTGAGCTCTCCGTGCCTGCGGCCACGATGCAAGGTATTGAAAGCGGATGATAAGTTGTCATTTAGAAGGAGAGGAGGTGGGGGGCAAATGTCAATCTGAGAGTTTGGGTGGTCTGCCGCGGAGCAAAAGGCGCGGACCTTGGTCTGGGTGATACTGTTCAGGGACCAGGATTTCGGCTTGAGGAACGCGCAAATCACGTGGACCGGCCTGCGTGCTAGTGGGAGGCGCTTTCTCTGAGGCGGTGACGGCTTGCTGGGCGCTGGAACGGAACTGCGGGGTAGGAAGCGATGGTGCGTGACGCGGTGGGTAGAGGGCGGGCCGAGGGGCAGCACAGGGCGTGGTGAGAGGGATTTGATGATTCGGGAATGTGTTGATTGTCTCGAGACCGCAATGGGCGTGCCTTGAGATGTGTAGAGCGGGCTTCGGGCGAGAGCGGCAGGGCGGCAATGGCATCGATGCGGTACACCTAAAAGCGGCGAGCGTCAAGAATATGATGCGAACGCGCGAGCCTTGCAAAGTTGGATGAGCAATGGCGGGTCATGGTAAGAGGGTGATCCTTACCGGCTCGCCACGGAGCGTGCCCACCGCGGTGCGCTCGGTAATGACAATGAGGTGCCATCCTGCTCACAAATGAGAAAATGGCGCCAAGCACAGGTGACGACAAGGATTGAAACGGGGTGAGAACAGGGGTGAGAACAGGGATAAAGGGATAGGAGGGTGGGAGAGAGCGCGCGCGCGAGAAAGAGAGAGAGAGAGCGCGCGCGAGTGGGGTGGGGCAAGGTACAAACGAACCAGTCAGGAGGTCAAGAAGGCCGACAAAGCCGTAGACGGCCCCGAGGTTGACGGCATCTGGCGCAAGTGGGAGGTCGATGTGTGAGCGCGAGAAGGCGGTCAAGGACAGCAGGGCAAGTGGGGTCGGGAAAACACACAAAAAAAAAAGTGTGTGTGTGTGTGTGGGGGGGGGGGGGGGGGGGGGTAAGGCCTGGAGGGATGGTCTTGTGACCGTGCTAAAGGCTCGCGTCACGCGGTTGATCCTGTGGCCATGAAGGCGCAAGAATGGAAGAGGGGGGGTTGAGACTCAGGTTGGGAACAAAAGCAAGGCGACCGTGGTGCAACTGCACCAAGCAAAAACACCGAGCCGAGGCGGAAAGGGGGAAAGGATCGGGTTGAGGGGCGGGCGAAGGCGGAGGGGGGCGGGACCGAAAGGACGATTACCTCAACAAGGTGGGGAGGGCATCGCTGGCAAGGAGCAAGTGATGGGGCGTGGCGAGCACGGTGAGCTGGCCCGCGCCCCCGTACGCCTTGAGGGGCCCTGGGGCGTGACCCTCTGATCCCGCCATCGATCTGCTCAGTCTACAACAGTGTTGCCGGTGCCACCAATGCCGCCGACTCGTACTGCCGAACCGGCGCTCACTGCGGCATTTGATTCAACCCCCCCAAAAGCCAGTGTCCAAGGAGCCTGCTCTCAGCTCAGCTCATATCACAGAGAGAGCGAGAGACGAGAGAGCGAGAGAGACACGAGAGACACGAGAGACACGAGAGACACGAGAGAGAGCGAGAGACGAGCGAGACACGAGCGAGACACGAGCGAGACACGAGAGAGCGACGAGAGAGACGAGAGACGGAGATCCAGACGAGATCCAGACGAGCAAGGCGCAGCTGATCAAGCACACTAGCTGCTCCACCACCAACAGCGCCGGCAACAGCACCGGCAGCACCGGCAGTATCCGTATCCGTAGCAGTAGCAGTAGCGGTATCCGTATCCGTAGCCGTATCCGTAGCAGTAGCAGTATCAGTAGCGGTATCCGTGGCGGTATCCGTAGCCGTAGCCGTAGCCGTATCCGTATCCGTATCCGTATCCGTATCCGTATCCGTGGCGGTAGCGGTAGCGGTAGCAGCCGGCCCTTTCTCTCGCTCACTCTGTCTGACCAAATGCTCGGCCCTCTCTCTCTCTCTCTCTAAATCTCTCTCTCTCTCTCTAAATCTCTCTCTCTCTCTAAATCCCTCTCTCTAAATCTCTCTCTCTCTAAATCTCTCTCTCTCTAAATCCCTCTCTCTCAATCTCTCTCTAAATCTCTGTCTTCTTCTTAACGAATGGGTCTCTCTCTCTGTCTCTCTAAATCCCTCTCTGTGTCTCTGCTTTTGTCTGTCCATCTCTGTATCTCTCTCTCTCTCTTCTCTCTCTTTCTCATTTCCTTCTCTCACTCTTTCTCTCTCTCTTCTCTCTCTCTTTTTTCTCTCTCTCTACATCTCTCCACACACAAGCGACGACTTTAGTTGGTAAATGGATTCAAAGGGTTAAAAGGTTTTGTTGCCTGAGCGGGGGAGGACGTTGTCGGCCTTGCTCTTGAGCCAGGTCAGCAGGCCTGGGGTTGCAAGAGGGCCGTCATGGGCCACGTCGTGAGTCAGGCGCCAGATGGTGAAGATACGAGCCGCCACCCAGGATCGATCGCTTTCTCATCTCGTTGCTGCTCTCAACCTGAACGAGCGTCTCCCTTGCCCTTGTCGAAACGTACCCAAGAGGCCGTTTTGGCGCTTGCCGTACATGCCGCTGGTGGCCGTGACGGGTGTCGCGGCGGTGCCAGCATCATTGCCTTGGCCGGCGCCAGACAGGTCTTGAAAGTTGGGCAAGACGTTCTCGTTGGCCGACAGCGAAATAAACAGCGTAAACGGCACCAACCACACGCACAGCACAAAGTAGGAAACCACCTGCCGCATTAGACCAGGGGGGAAAAAAAAAAAGCAGACGTGAGCACATGGCTGGTGCACACGTCCCGCAATGCAGCAGCCAATAGAGCTTGCCTGATCAAAGGGATAGTAGAACGATGAAAAGTGGTTAAACACGACCCAATGGTGTGCCACCACAAGCACTACAACCGGTTAATAAAAAAAAAGGGAGGGAAGACATTTCGCAGACCATGTCAGTCAACGAGGCAGGTGATGGGCGTCGGCAAAAAGCCTGGCAGGTTGGAGACCCTCCCAAAAAAAATGCAAAAAAAGCCCCCCCCCGCACCGGCCGGGCAACTCCCTGTCTGCTGCCACCAAGCCTACCTGAGGAGAGAATAAACTCGGGGCTGGTAAACTTGAAAAAGGGAAAGTCGTGCAGCAGCGAGTAGTAGGCAATGTGGGCGGCCGTGCCCACCAAGGTCATGGGCCAGAGCGGGATGGACGAGAAAAAGCCCAACAACAACTGCAAGGCCACCACCACCTACATGGACGGCGTCATCAGAGGCGGGTTGTCCGACGCTACGAGCGCTGCTTTTCCAATTGTGCCGCGGGATGCTTACAAAGATGGCTTGATGAAGCAGGCGGCGGGTGGCGACCGTGTATTCCTCGACCACCTCGGCCAGATACAAGAGACCCGCCGCGAGGCACAGGGTGACAAAGACGGCAATGAAGATAAAGCCCAGCCAAGAAAGGGCCTCCAACAGCATAATGTCGGTCAATCGGTTGGTCGGTCAGTCGGTCAATCGGTCAATTGGTTGGTCGGTCGGTCGGTCGGTCAATTGGTTGGTCGGTCAGTCGGTGCCTATTTGCCTCCAACCCGCATTTTCAAGCACAGGAATGGTCAATGTTGATTTGATGCAACCGAGCACACGAAGAGGGGGCGGGGGCAGGCGCGTACGAGGAGGCGAGATGCAGGAGCGGTTGAATGTGGGTATTCGACGACGGGGGGCGGCTGGTGGCCAGCCGCAGCGAGGGGGCTAGGGGGTGATGGTCAAGCAGCTGATCTGTCGCAAAAACGCAATTGCCAACAAGGCAGATGAGTCGAGGCACGGGGGACCAGCCGCGCGGTGCAACTGGCAGGGAGGGCAATCTGTGGTGGGAAAAAAAAAACGGGCGACGGCGGCGAGGGAGGGGGCTAATTCCTTGTCGCGTGACAGTCTCTCCTCTCTCAACGACACGAGTCAAAGGCTGCCATCGGTTGAAAGGCAACGGCAAAGCGCCACTCACATCAACGGCCGTCCGTGAGGAAAGCTTGCTGCGCACACGATGCTGCCTACGTTGTCAATGTCGAACCGATACACCATCCAGCCGTGTGTGTGAGTGAGAGCGAGCGAGCGAGCGAGAGATACAGAGAGAGCGCGCGCGCAAGTGTGTGTGTGTGTGTGA